GGCGAAGTACGACAATCGTCGTCAGCGCTGCTTATTTCGATGGACGGGGCGATGCCGAGATAGCCTTGTCCAGCGGCGGAAGAAGACAAAGAGACTGAGGGCCAGCAACCGGGTCTTTTCGGATCTGAAGAATGATGATGAGGCTGCAAGTGATTCCTGTATGAAGCCCGTCTCAGTGATGGAGACGAGCTAGAGCCGGCCGGTATTACAGTGACGTTAGACGTAGTAGACTGCTGCTGTTGGTGTTGTTGACCTCTGAGACGTGGGGAGCCAAGAGCAGTTGGCCGAGGTGTTAGTGGATACCGACTCAATGAATGACCATCTGATGGTGTTAACGAGATTGGGGGGCTTGACGACTGGCTAATTGATATTCTGTAAATATCAGGGCGCTTTGATATACCGGACTCACCCCCATGCACTCCAGCTAGTTGGCTCCAACCGGAAACACTCGCAGCCCGCCCTATTTGACTGGATCGCGTTAAACGCAGTCGCTCCGAAGCGTTCTGGTTAAAGACCGTTGGCTTTGATACGCTGAAACTTCCGAGGCAAGCATTTAAATTAGAAGAATTCGAGGCACCGATTGGGCGAAAGTGAGGCTGAGCTTGCTGTGAGTTGGCTGCCTGAGACTGGGATGTCAGCTGTCGACAAGTCGAAGACGCATCTGTGAGTTCAGAAGAGTGGAAAGCCTCCGGAAAAGATGCTAATCGATTTGCTGCCTGAGCCGCAATATTGCCTAGGTAACCCGAACTGTCTGCTGATGAGCCTACTGAGGAAGCTTGTCCAGCTTCCGAGGTTTCTGCGCCTACCGACAATTTACGACTGCAATATTCACGTGATTTTGGCGTTCTTACCACCGTAAATGCATTAGTTGCTTCAAAGTCACAAGCTTCTCTATCATCAGTTGAACTGCCGTAAACCGAGTCGCTGGCTTCAAATATCTGGAAGCTAGGCTGCCGAAAAACGCTTGGCTGCAGCGAAGCACGAGAAAATCGCGAAATTTGGGTCCCTTGTTGGTAACCAGTAACTCCAAAGGCCTCTGTAGATGCTTGATATCCGTGTTTGCTATCACCTTAAACAAATCATTAGACAAGGAAGACAAAATGAGAAGTTTTAGCATTTTTAATAGCATTTACTGGGAGATGTATAAACATGCTCATAAATATTTACACATATATTGTACGCACAGAAGGGCAATGGATTTTTCTTTATTGTCTTAGCTTCTATGGAAAAAATATACCAGTAGCTGACATTTTTCTCCACAAATCTCTTTCCCCCATAAAATATCAGGAGTATCAAATAAGCACAGAGATTCAAGGGGACCTATTATAAACATATCATCATTTGCATTATCTATACGTTTAGTAAAGGAAATAAACTATTCTCCATAGAAGTAAATAG